TTGTTTAACTATGAAATATAAAATCTATTTCTTTTGTATAATTATAAAATGCAAAATAATTTTTTTTTCGAAGCCCCTGCTCGAAAAAAATCATGAGCGTCAAAAAAATACATAGCACTCATTTAAATAGTAATACAATTTTCAATCGGTTTCAAACTTTAGATAGTTGAAAAATCTTTAAATAACTATGAAGATTTATTAAATACCACTTTATGATCAAATAGCTACTCGTGAAAATAAAAATTAAAGTTTAAATATCGAGTAAATATTTAAATAGATATGCCAATCTTTAAATAGTACTACAGAATTAAAAAATTGCTCTTCAGACATAGTATATTAATCAACTATACAACGACTTAAATAGCTACAGAATTTAATTAACTAGATCTTCAAATCTTTAAATACTACTAGAGATTTGTTTGGCAATCAACGAAATATATTCATTAGTATATCTTATCTAAATACCTCCCCATCCATTTATTCGAAGTCTATATATAGGCGAGCAACATAAAAAAGAAGAAATACTATAACAAAAACAAGAACTACAGTACAAAACTCGTTTACTAATCAAATAATATCCTCGGAACATTACGTATATTAGTTCTCAGACATTTGAAAAACCACAACAATATTTCTTTCGAACGAAAAAAACTTTCTGATCATTGAAACTTCTAAAATCAATCAACTTTCTTACCACTAAACAAAACACCTCATGCAAATCTTTTTTTCTTCAAAAAGATAAATGAAAATCACATTGTCCCAATGTCCCGAGCTTTAAAAAAATCAGACAGCTGTTGCAAGTTTTTTTCTTCTCAATAAGATAAAGAAAATATTATTGTCCCAATGCCCTGACGATTAATAATAAACATCTCTTATAAATCTTTTTTTCTTCAAGATAATAAAAAAAAGATTGAACCGTTTCTAATTGCATACTCAAACAAATAATCTTATATCCTCAACAACAAAAGCTTTATTTATATAAATTATTTTATCACAACATTTATGCTATAATAGAGAACTCCATTCTCAACTAAATTCTAAACTTACCTGCGACATATATTTTAGAATAGAAAAAAAACTTCTCCTGAAACAATAAACAATTATCATTATATGCACTGTTCATGATCAGTTTCTTGCATGTTTCTCTATTAACTCCTATAATGAAATGATAATAATAATAACAAAAAGTATAAGTTAAGCGATATTACATGGTTGGAATGTTAAGTATCCAATAAAAGTAATAAATCAATATATTTTCTCAGTGACATCTTTAATTTTCTTTAATACAGTTTATTTTTCATTTAATAACCTATAAATCTATATATTCATATGTATATGAGTAAGCTCAAATGCATGGAATATGTGTATAGTATGCACTCGTAACCTGCATATTTACATCTTCAAGTATTGATTTCAATTAGAATTAAAATTACTATTTTCTTCAAACATAGTGTGGAATAGATAATAAATATGAATTCAACAGAATTACTAATGACGTTAATACAAGTATTTTTCATGAGAATATAATGACAGTTGAAATTACTGATTTTTATATTTTCGAGTATTAAAGCATCATGGATTTTCGAAAGAAACTCAGTTCTGTTAAGTGATAACAACAATACAATTTGTTCATTTAATTGTTATTGAGTTCACATGATTATGACAATCTCGATTACGTTAAATTACTTATACAAAAACGTTTGATAAATCATGAATATTTAAAGTTAACTTACATAAGATATCACATTTCTAAAGGAGCAACTAACAACGTGTTCAGTTCGATAGCATAACGCTCAGTAGTATGAATTTGGATGCCATCAAAACTGTAAGACTCAAATAATTTATTTTTTCTTACAAGCCATGTCTACTTGTTAGCATTATTTTATAATTGCAAAAAAAAAAGAAAAAGATTCATTTTGCACAAAAAAAAGTACAAATATCACAGTAATTATTTTTATGAATAATCATTACGTTGTTTCGATGACGATGCAGCCGGATTAAATTTTAGATTTTCTCTTTTTTCTTTCATTCTTCTGTTTTGAAACCTAGTAAAAAATATATAAATAAATTAAAAACAGTGAGAATTTCTTTTAATATTATACCAGATTTTAACTTGTCGATCACTAAGTTGAACACCAGACGCAATTTCTGATCGACGTTTACGCGTTAAATATTGACTAAAACGATATTCTTTTTCTAGTTCAAATGTCTGAGCACGTGTATAAACTTGTCGATGTTTTCGTCGAATTTGATCTCCTACAAGACAACATTTATTTTCATATTGGTATCATTTTTAATTTCAATATATACCTTTCATCCAATCATATACATGATTTTTCCCTGAAGGTGTAGGTACATCTTCGACTTCTCTTTTTAAAATTCTTGTTGGCAATGGTATAGGTGTTGGCATTGTTTGAGAAGAAGAAGAAGAAGAAAAATCATAATTAGATGGTAATCGAGGTTGACTTTGTAAAACAAGAAGATTAGATTCTTGCATATATGGTTGTGTAGAATGAACATCGTACATAGATGAACCATATCCAAACGCTTGTTGTTGATGATGTTGTTGTTGTTGTATAGTATGGTATACATAAGGAGATTGCGGTTGAAATTCAGATTTGTGATGCTCGTAAACGTATTCAACAGCGTCTGGTTGGTAGTATGGTAAGTTGCCTAACGATTGTATAGGCTGTAACGAACGATGATGATGATCGTAATAATCGTTAGACGTTGGCGAGGAAAGATAATTTACAGCGGATGTCGTTCCGTCCATATTGATGTGATCGTTTAATAGAAAAAAAACTGGTGCACACTCAAGCGACAGTCAATAAATATTGTATTTTAACTACCGTTTTCAAAAAGAAACTAACAAACTATTAACGTCGTTATAATAAAATAAAAAGAACATATTGAGAAATGATGGTCAAAAGAGAACACTTGAGATTTTCATATGATTAATTTTGTATGTGTACAAATGATAAGAGAGAGAGAAAGGTAATGAAAAATTATCATTGGCCAACTATCTCGATTTTTTTCCGTTGGCTCACATAAATCATATAATGTCAAGTAAATCATGTCTTGTTTGCTTCTCTTTCTCGCTTTCGTTTCTCATTCGATATTAGCTAATATCTATTGCAATATTTATTGATAGTATACCGTCATAAAAAACTATCAAAATTGAGCTGTTTAAATTTATTCTAATTGAAAACAATTCAATTGTCTCTCGAAATTGAAGAAGAAGCAAAAAGAAAATACAGTGAGTATTATAGGAAGAGAAGAGATTATTTGGCGGAATACATCATAGAAAATTGATAAGAAATAACCAATGATAATTTATGTTTGCTTAATATACATCATATTCGCTCGTAAATGTGTCTATCGACATTGATTCATAACGGTTTCACACGTAATATTATTCGTTGTTGACCATCTGCTGTTAGAATGATATTTCCTATATTCATCAACACTTCAAATTTTATTTGACGATCAATATCGTATGGAAGAAGAAGAAAAAAGAAGCTTTTGATATATCAAAAGACTATATTGTTGATATTGAACTTGATTAAATTTTTTTGAAAAAAATCAAATGAATAGCAAATTGTTCATATTTTGAAAAATGCCAGTCTGCTTATATTCGAATTTTGTTGAAACGCAAGATGCTAATAAGAAAAACGCTGTATTTTATTCATACTATGTAATAATATTGAGATAAATCATAAAAATCAGCTTCTAAAATCATATTTATCATTACTGGAATTCATCTTACGATAGAGTTATCACTTACATATACTTTATTATATGAAATCAAATGAATGTGAAAATGTTTCTGTATTAAATATCCGAATTTTGAAAAACTGGTTTTCAACCCTTTTGTTTTTCAAAAATAAAATAAAACAACAATTTAAAAAAAAAGTGAGCAACAAGCAATAAAACAAAAAAGTTTATTCACTACGTAAAATTTTATCTAGCGGGTCCATGAAGTGCTTCTCAAAATTGATAACACTAAAACGATCGGTACTTTCACGTGCACGTATACGTATTTGTTCTCGTTCATCTGATTTCATTTCTAATATTTGACGCATCATTGTTGCATATGAATCGATGTCAACTGCGAGAAAACCTGTTTGTCCTTCATCAACAATATCCATTTTTGGACCACCAGATTTATGAGCAAGAACAATTGAGCCAGCAGCCATCATTTCAACAATACCTAAAAATAAATTTTATTTATTAAAAAAAGAAAAGGAAATATTAAACTAAAATTATTCCACATACCAATTCCAAAATGTTCATTCCACATTGTATGTAATCCAATCATTGCTTTATTTAAATGATTTTTTAATTCTGTAAAATTAATATTTAATTTAAATTCAACTTCTTCAGTCATGTTTAAATTTTCAACAAGTGTTCGTAATTGTTCAACACGTTCTCTATCTTCTTCATGTCTTACACTACCAATTAATATTAATCGTAATTTTTGACGATGTTCAGGAATTCTAGAACAGAATTACAAAACAAAATATAAATTGAATTTTAAATAATAAAGATAAAAACCTTTGTAAAAGTTCATGAAATGATCGAATTTGTAATTCATGATCTTTTTCTGGTCGAAATTGTCCAATAGATACAATTGTTTTAAGCATTTGTTCATCATCCTTAACGAGTGGCATTAATAAAAATTGTTTAACATCACATGGTGGATAAATAAGATGAATTGAACGTGCTGGTAATCGCCAAATACGTGCAATATGTCCTTGTGTCCATGATGAATTACAATAAGCCGTTTGAGCACATCTACCACACCAACCATATATATATGCAAATAGTCGATAATAAATTAATTTTATTTGACTAATACTTGAATTATTAGCTATTAATCCACGATTATTATATGTTGGTCGTCGTTCTCTTACTTGATCAAGCATATCAGTACTTATGGTTGGATAATGAACATAAGCAAGTACTGGTACTGATGCTAAATAACGGAATATTGGATAGGTAAATGCATAACCCATTGAATCAATATAAATATCAGGTGTAAAACGTATTAATGCTTCTAAACCTAATATCATTGAACCAATACTTTGTCCTAATAAAGTGAACATTTTATAATATTTTGCTTCAACAAAGAAACGACTTCGAAGATAAATAAATCTTATTGATGGTTTATAAATTTGCATATTCATATCAAAACGTTGTTTAACACGATGAAGAATTTCGTCTGGTGTTGCATCTGTATCTCCAGTATAAATAATTATTTGAACATCATTTTTATGTTTTTTAAGAATGGATTCAATTGCTGTCCATAGAACACGTTCACCACCACCGCCATCATTACAATATGGATGAAAAAATGCTACACTTAAACGGCATTGTCGTTCATTTGTTGTCCATGCATGACTTCGTTTACGATTCCATGGGATAAATACAAATTTTAAGATAGGAATTATTGTAAGTATCCATGCAAATATCGTTATAAGGAACCAAATCATAAATGTAGTTAAACAAAGATTGAAAAGAAAAAATGTAAATGCTGACAGAAGTATCAAATTAATCAATGCAATACCCCATCCAATAAATAGTATTGCTTGTATTGTTGGTATTAAAAGAGACGTCATACGGAAAATTTTTTTAAATATTTCTAACATCTTTAGTAGAATGAAAAAAAAGTAAATTTCACGTGTACTAATTGAACTTTAAGTATAGATGGCGGTATATAAAACATGTAAAACTTTTATTTATATGAAAAGAAATGGAGGAAAATTTATTTCCATAAGTTTTAATATTTATTGAGAGAAAATAAAAAATTTTTAATTTCCTATGCACTTGATTTTATTGTTGGGGTATATGTTAACCAATTAGCATAGCTGCCAAAATTACTTTGTCTTCCTTTTCTTTTTCTTCTCGTCGTGTTTTTTTTTTCTTCGGCAATGGGTTATGGTTTGTATATAATTGATCATTCTCGTTTTTGTTTTGATTTAACCAACAAAACTACATTTGTATAATATTTCTTGTCGTTTCTTTCATTATGCCGTCGCACTAGTCATGTTCCGCTATCGTCACTAATTTCCCATATCTCTTTTCAATAGAACTACTTGATTGTTGCATAATAACATAGACTATTCTTTTCCTACTGAACGCGATTACTCGTATATCATCTGGTTGATTTGTTGTTATTTTAAGAGAAAAAGAAAAGTAGACCATTGGTGATTGCTACACTCATCGTCTTTTTAACAGCATTATATACATATACATATACATATTCTGATAAACAAATTCATCGTATTCGCAGTAATAATTATTTGCTATTATTCAATCGAACAAAATATCCATATATAAAAAAAGCTTGTATGTAATTTGTCTGTTATATTTTATCTTTTTCCAGCCTTATTGCATATCCTCTAGTCAAAATCGATTTTATTTTTCTATCAATAACATCTGAAATCAATTGACTCTCCCATTTTAGATTGTATTAGACAGTACTGAGAAATGTCCATCTGGTAGTATTGAATATAGATGACTGATAATCTTTGGATACTATACACTAGGGCATTATTGTTGATGGATCGATCTGAAATAACATTACAATACTAACTGCTGATGCCGCAAGTGCTATCCATTAACAGTTCACATATGTATGTGCATTCCTTTTTTTTTCTTTTTGTTTTCCTCAGAATTCAACAAATAATTGAATTGATTATTATTGAGAGAATGAAGAAAAATGACTACGATGACATAGCTTATAGACATCGCATATACATTCGACTTTTTATCAAATAACATTTCCGTTTGTCGTATATTGATAATCATTTTTATCTTCTTGTTGTTCTTCTCTTCTCTTCTCTTCTCTTTCACTCCATCATGTACTGTTGTTCTGTATTTTGACCCCGCCCGAAGGTGTTGCCCTCAATCGTCTTTTTTTTTCTTCTATTGTGCCCGATCGTTGTCGTTCAATCTGTTTCTTCATCTTTTCTGTATTCTGTTGTCCAGTCGAGAGTACAAATGATGGAAAAAGAAGAAGAAAAAAAATTTGCCTTCCTGTCTCGTTCTAATGTTGAATGAATGAATGAATGTCTCTCTGTGTTGAAGAAGGAAGAACATTTGGTTTGCCTTTGTTTTAAGATAATCTCATTCTATCAGACGGACTATGTCACACATTTTCTCTTTATTCTTTTCTTTTTAAGATGAAAAAGCGACATTAAATGAACTGTTGAACATCATCATGTTGATAAACATAAAACAATGGACAATATCACGTGAGTGTATATGTAGATTTGTATCTATTTCGTGTTTTGAATCATATGATTGAATTTGATTCTTTTTTTTGCCACTTGAACGAACATACAATTATCGTTCGTCTCAAGATGGTCATTGTTGATATAGAGAGACGACATTTTTCTTTTTTTTTTCTGTCTTCTATTTCTGTTTAGCAATAAGAATTGTGACCTTCTTTTTCTCGGATTAAATTAAATGAATTCAAGCCGCTATATTTTCCTTTTTGATGATTAGAATATATACAATTCCAATATTAAATGTGATCCGTAGGCATATTTGTCGAATGTGTCTACATATATATGTATGATGATGTTAGTGTCTCTCTCAAGCTTATCGCGATCTATAGATGAAAACAGCCGATATAAACATATATGCAAAAGAAAAAATGACAATGTTTACGTGATGTTTCTAATGAAATGATCATTCATATATATATTTGATTTTCTTTTAAGTCTTTTATTTGCATAAAAAATAATAAGATCGATTCTTTTTTTTTCTGTTTAACCGAACAAAACAGATGTATTGAAAAAAATCTTTAATAGTTTCTTGAAAGTAAAAACATGCGGAAAGAAAATGAACTATTAATACTCGAAGTTCTTTGATAAATATTGACAGAAACTGATAGTTAATTACTACCCTAAAAAAAACATTAGACAATTTTTCTTACTGCTATGATCGATTGATTGCTTTTGAATAGTACCCTAGGCTACGTACATATGTTTCATAATAAAAATTGCATGTGTATATTATATTAATGATTATGCAAGTGTATATAGATATATATTTTTTTTCTCTCTCTCTCTCTAGTTTTATATTATACAAATCACATCTGACGGATCATATGAAATTATTCGTTTATATATTCATTTGTTATTTATCATTAATTATATCTCCTAAAATAGTACAAAGTCAATCATTGTCATGTTCATGCAATCTAGATGGAACTGGAATGACAATGATTTGTACAAATGTAGATTCACTTGTTACTTATCAACGATGTATGCATGAACAATTAAATACACAATCAGATTTAAAATTACGACGTGGTGGTGTTATTACAAATTTAACAATTATATATCATAAATTACGTAGTTTATCTAATGGTATATTTCAATTTTCTTATGGAAATAATAATGCTTATCAATTAAGTGATTTACGATATTTATATATTATCAATGGAACATTAAGACAAATTGAAAATAGAGCTTTAGCATTAATTGAACATGCTATTGAATATCTTGATTTATCAAATAATGAATTTCAACATATGCCACAATATAATAATGAACAATATGGTAATCTGATGTAAGTATTTATTTTTTTCGAAAAATAATTATTAATATTTTTTTTTTAAATTAATTTAGAAAACTTATTCTTTCAAATAATCAAATTCATCGGCTAACAGTATCAGATATTCAAGCATATAATCGTTTACAACAACTTGATTTATCGTACAATCGTCTTCAATATGTTGATATGTTAATAGTTAATCATCTGAAATATTTAAAACAATTATATTTAAATTCTAATATGTTAAGAACATTAACAAATAATATAACATTTCCAAGTAATTTTCATTTGAAATTAAGTTCAAATCCATTAGAATGTGATTGTCGTCTTCGTTGGTTACGTAATGCATTTAATCGTGTTGAATATCCAATATATCATGATGAACCACGATGTGAAATGCCCAAAGCATTAGCTGATAAAAAAATTGGTACATTACTTGATGCACAATTTGTTTGTGGACCATTGATATCAAAACCTGATCTAACACTTCTTGCTGCTACGACGGGTGAAGTTGCTACACTTAGATGTGATGTAAGTGAATTAAGAATTTCAAGTTATCTATAATACTCGAGATAGAAGCTTAGATAAATACAAAAGTATTTTTTTCAATTATTAGTCATTTGATAGTATCAGATTAACAAAACGATTAATCTTATATTAAATGGTTTCAGTTATATAATTGAAAATTCTCTTAGTCTATAGTTTATTAATAAGAAATTTTGTTTAGGTCTATTCTGATCCAGCACCGGAAGTATGGTGGACATTTCAAAATAAAATTATTGGTAAAATGATATCAGCTGTAAATGAACCTGATATTCATGCTGGTTCATATACAATTCGTTATTCATGTTTATCATCATATTCAGAAACATCAACTTCAAATTGTCTTAATAAAACAACAACATTGACGATATCTAATATTGGTACTGAACATAATGGTACATATAATTGTGTTGCAGCTATACGTAATCAAGGACGTTCGGATAATGAATATCTTTCATATGAATTACGTGTTCGTCGATCATCACCATTAACTGATAGTTCATTTCTTATATGGACTATTGGAGTATTTCTTTTATTATTTATTTTTCTACTATTGTTACTTTGTATTTGTTGGCTTATGCGTTGTCATCGTTCAAATCAACAACAAGCAGAAAGAAATAAAGCATTATTATTTGATGCAAATAATCATCAAAATGGTACATTATTAGCAAATGGAAATATTTATAAAGAAAAAAATGATGAACAACATAGTTTTGTTACCAATGGTAGTTATGATCCATATGATATGATTGATTCAAGATCACAACTTGGTCCACCTATGTATAGTGAAGTACGAATGGTTGATTCAACACCATTACGAAGTATTGGTGGTGGTTCAATGACATCATCAATACCATTACATGATACAGCAACACTTATGCGACGTCATCAACCACATGATTTATTATATGATAGTTATAGATCAGATAGACAACTTTATGAACAAGTAAAATAGAAATAAAATTTTGTTTTTTGTTTTCTAAAATATTAATTTTGTTTTTGTCTTCAGATTTATCGACCTTCACCAATGGAACCAGTTATTGTTGATGAATTTGAAGATGAAATGATATTTCCAACAGGTTATGAAGAAGATTATGAATATCGTCAAGATATTATTAAACCAAATCAAGCTGTTGATCCTCGACGACAACATAAACAACAACAACAACCAACAAATCATGATCGATCAGGTACAACAATTATTTTACCTCCTCCATCCATACCACCAGTTTCTGAAACTGTCAACGGACATCATAAACCTCATCAAAAATTAATTTTAACACCAAATACAAAACAATCTCATCAAATGGTTAATTCATCAAGTTTTGATTCGAACTATAAATTTGATAGATCTGAATCTCAATATGCAGGTCTAGTTGAATCACAACTCTAGTAAATTAGAATTATATGTGCGTTGAACAGTGTTTCTTATTCATCTTGATATAATCGTATGAACTTATGTTTAATTAATGCTTTTCTCTTTTTTTTTCTAAAAAAAAAACTACTCATTTATTCTTCTTTTGTGCTTAAAGCAGATATTAATATCCATTGTTTTCTTTTCTTCTTTTTTTTGTCAATAGATTTCGATCAATAATATTTTGTCAGATGTGTATTCAGTCATCTACCATTTTTTTTTGATTTTTTGTTTTTCTTCCTTTATATTTTTTTTGGCGTGCATAATCAACTTGTCTAATATTTCGATTAATGGTCTGATGCGTGTAGGTTTTTTCTTAACTTGTTGTTGTTGTTACTATTGTTGTTGTTGTTGTTCAATTCGAGTCTCTTGTTTTTTCTTCCATTGTGCCAAACGAATAATCAACTTTAATATTATATTGAGTTAATTAGAAAACAAAAAATATCAATTATTTTGATATTGTAAAGAATATGATGATTTTATTTTATGATTTTGCTAACTATAGAATAGGAAGTTCAATTATTTTACCATGCACACACCTGAAATTATATTGTTATAAATGAATTCAATCTTTTTGTAGTAGCGTGTTCATTAATACATATAATCAACTTTTTGTATTTATAATACGTTAAACTTATTCTCCTCCAATTTTGATTGAAAACAGCATAGATTATCAAGGATTGTCTATATCTTATTTTTAATTTCAGAAAAGAGAATGGAATCTGCTCCGCCTGTTTATTCTAATATTGAACTTATTTGTCAAGGCGCTGAAGCACGTATTTTTCGATGTTTATATTTCGGTCGTCGTGCTATACTTAAAGAACGTTTTGTTAAAACCTATCGTCATCCTGATCTTGATAGTGCCGTTACACTTCAACGTCTTAAAGGTGAAGTTCGTCTATTAACACGTGCTAAACAATTAGGTATTCATACACCATCCATCTATCATATTGATTGGTCTAAACGTACAATTATTATGGAAGATTTATATGATTCTCGTACTGTTAAATCTATTATTGATACATTAATTCAAGAAAATAATACTATGAAATTAGATGAATTAGCACAACAAATTGGTTCAACAATTGGACGTCTTCATCAAGCACAAATTGTACATGGTGATCTTACAACATCAAATATGCTTTTATCAGAAAATAATCAATTATATTTAATTGATTTTGGTTTAAGTGCACATGTGCCAAATAAAACTCAAATGCTTGAAGCACTTGCTGTAGATTTGTATGTTTTAGAACGAGCTATTATATGTACACATCAAAAAGCAAAACATTTTTTTTCAAATATTCTTATGGCATATAAAAATTCTATTAGTGATGACAAACAGCGTACATTAACGATGAATAAGTATGAAGAAGTGCGTGCAAGAGGACGGAAACGAAGCATGGTTGGTTAATTACGATTTTTACGATCTAAAATTAGAATAAAACAAAAAATTTGTTGTTACTATCTGTTTTTTTTAAAAATTTTGATTTTGAAATAAACATACCAAGAATAAAATATAAACACATAGCAGTAAGACCAAGAAGTAGAAGAATACCAAAAACAATACATATCCATGCCCAACATGGACAATCAGCATTTAAACCTAGTGCACGAACCAAATTGAATGAACTTGCAGGTTGAGCATTGGTTGTCGTATAAACAGCTGGATTAGATTCTGGTACAACCTATAGTTTTTATTTAAATGTAATAAAAATCTATGGAATATATATATATATCGATTTACTGTATAGATATCTCGAGTTGTAGCTAGTGGTGGTGGTTTACGATCAGGCATAAAAATTGTTTCTTTAATAATTGGCCGTCTGACAACCTTCTAAAATAGAGTTAGAAAAGATAATAAAAAAAATTCATACATACTTCAACAGGTTTTTGATAGACTTCATCACGTTTGTAATAAATATTTTCATCTAATAATTCAGTTTTGCCTGGTTTAGTAATCTATGTATATTAATTATAATGAAAGGAAAAACAAATATTGTAATTCTTACGTAAAGATTTGGATTTGGATCTTGAGTGAAGCCACTAGCAATAGGCATGTTTTTTTTTATGTAATTTAATTCGTCTGTTTGATATTGTGAAATCGAAAAAATGAGATGTTGGATTTTCTTTCTTTTTTTTTCTAAAATAATCAATCACTTCTTGATCTTGTCTAACACATATGATGAAATGTGAGATGTAACTAACAAACTATCGATCAGCAAAGTGGGTGTCTATGTACATCTCGAATATCTTCAATATATTTGATGATTGCAGAAGTAAAAAAGAATATTTGTTTTTTATTCAAGTTCAAAAATGAGTGATATTAATATGTGTACTAAAAATCCAAATTGAATATCAAGGACAGACACATAAAAACAAATTTAAAAAAACGAGTCTTTACAATCAATATTTCGATATTTTATTTGATTACAAAATAAAGATTAATATGATATGTATTCTCTTGATAGAAGCAGCGAATAATTAATAAAAAATAAAATTTCGAAATTTTTATTTAATGTGATGCTTCACAAAATATTTCTTTATTGATTTCAATCTGTAAATATTAGTGAAGATCTTTTGTACGTACAAGAAGAAAGACGTGCTTCTGTTGGACGCAAAATGAGTACATTTATTTTTGTTAAGCTTTCCCATTAATCCTAGTCACAAGATATGAGTATTAAGTATATTGTTACAGGTGTAATTTTTAATTGAAAATAATCGAAATGAATATAAATGGATTCAAAGAGACAAGTTTCTTTCAAGTTATCAATATTTCTAGCCGATATAATGTTGGTTCCATTTTTCACCTTCTTTGCATTCAATCTTATCGTTGTTTCACAACAGCAATGTTAGTATTACGTAGAGATTCGACATATTCTATAATTAAATAATATCTTTTATTGTATTCAAATAGCTGACAAGTTTTTGATTGCTTTCGGTGATTCGTATACATCTGGTGGATCAGGATCATATCCGCTTGTTGCTGGTAGATTACTCAATTGGCCAGCACGTAATTTTGCTCAAGGTGGCTCAAAAATGAGTCATATACCAACACAATTATCTACAGCTGGAAATTCCTTAACAAATGCAACTCATGTTGTTTTTACAACTGGTGGTAATGATCTTGGTGTAGCAGAATCTATTCAACAAATTGTCTTAAAAAATAATTATACAGCTGTAGCAAATAAAGTTCTGTCACTTAAATCTCAACTTATTTGGACTTATAAAATAATCAAAGGTGCTCTTCGTGAAGGAACAAAAATATATGCTTTACCTTATGTTGATTTCATTAGTGTTGGAAATAAGATTCCTAATGAAGCTGATGCTCATCGTTTAATGGATTTATTATCAGATACGATTAAGGCTGCTTCACAAGAAGCTGGTATTGATTTTATTGAAGCTGTTAAAACAGCATTTGCTGGACATGAAATATATTCAGCAGATCCATACGCTGCTGGTTTTAATGAACCTGGTGCAGCACATCCAAATCAAAAGGGTTATTATAAGATTGGTGAAGTAGTTGCTGATTATATAAAATCACATTAATAAATTTCATAGATCAAACTATTGATGACTATTTTTTTTTGTTGTTGTTTTTTATGAAAAAGAAACGTCAATAGTTAGATTATCGTTATGAGTAAGATTATAATAAAATAACAACCTATTACATAGTTTTTTTTGATCAATATTGATGCACTTATTAAATCTTTTGAAAACTAAATTAATTATTACTCTATAAGTATTCAAAAAAAACTTCTTTATTATTGATAAATTCAAATAAATATTTTTGATATAATTATACTAGTGAAAAGAAATAGAATCGATGAGGAACATAAATTCGGGGATAGATTTTGATAAATATCATTTAATTGAGGTAATACCATTTCTTTGTGTAAATATTGAAGAACTATATCTGGATGATCAGTTATGAATCCATCTACTTGTACTGTATGCCAAAAAAAATCAATAAGTTGTTCGAAATTTTTACCAGGAAAGTAATCTTGTCGAAATGTAAATGGATAAACAGCGAGACCATACTGATGCGCCCATTTCGTAAAATTTGTAATTCCTAAAACTGTACCATTTGAATCATAATTCACAACAAATTCATAATAGGGTGCTAGACCTTGTACAATCTTTGATAAACTTTTAATACCTTCTTCACTTCGATAATAATCATAATTACTTGATGATTCATTGACTTGATTCAATGTCATTAAAGCAAATAAACGTAAATTACTTTGAAGTACTTGACGAATATAAATTAATTCTTCTATATGAAATGTTTGAATAATAACAGGATCAGTCGATTGTGTTAAATTATAAGCATTTAATGTTGCAAGTACAATAGATGAAATAGATTTATTATATTGTAAATGATATTCAGGTTTTTTTATTTCAATAAGTAATTGACGTTGTCGTTTAGTTGCACGATTAAGACCAAGTAATAATTCAATTGTTTCATTTAATGTTGAAAGACGAAATGGGATATTTGCATTAGCAGAAAAACGTAATGGAAAAACTTGAGTACCATTCAATGGTATAACACGTTCATGAATATTTAAACGACGTAATTCTTCAAGATCAAAATCAATAACATAATGAAGACCATTGGATCGATTTCGATTAGGAAAAATATCAGCTACATTACTCACTCCATTTAAATAAATATCTAATTGAAAAAAAAAGAAAAATAATATAAATACTTCAGTAAATCATCTTCAGTTATACCATGAATAACAATCAATTGATTATCTCGACTAAGACAAACATCAATTTCAATTATATCTGCACCATATGCATACGCCATTGATTGTGTAGATAATGTAAGTTCAGGTAAATAAGCTGTACCACGATGACCTATAACTAAGGGACGTGTTAAACTTTGAGCATTTTGAAGAATACATAGAAGTACTAAAATGCTTAGTATTGATTGAAGTATCATTATTCGTACTCAATACAGATAGAAGAAAAAACTATTGTTTTGGTGGTATTTGTGCTTGGACAATTTATACGACGATATATATGTATGCAAAAAAACATATGCTATTGTTGTTTATGTCAATGATATTAACAAAAACACGGTTATGTTAATACTTATTGTATTTATAGGTCAGCTTTTAAAAGGTTTATGGTTACTAGAAATACCACTGCTTTTAAAATAGGAATAAAAAACAAAATCTATATAATACGCTATATTAAAAAATAATTTTTATTTTATTCAATTGAAAAAAAAACTTGCTTTTATCATTTTGTTAATAAGAACGATATAATTAATATAGAAAAAGAAAAATTTTCAAGTTTTATTCCTTTATTGTGTTGTTCTTGTTTAGATTTTATATATTTAATTGCTTTATCTGGTTGATCAGTAAATAATCCATCGATTTTTAATTCATTAATAAAATATTGTAACATATTATCAAATGTTGTAAATGGTTGTTGAACGTCATCACTTCGAAATGTATATGGATGAATTAACAAATTAGATTTTCGAGCTGCAGTATATAATTCAGTTGGTTGTAAACCATTATTTTCTTGAAATAATTGTTTATAATGTGGACCTATACCATTAACAAATTGAGACATCTCTTCTATTCCTACACTACTTGTCCAATATTTAAAATCAGTTTTACTATATTCACTTCGATATTTATTATCGGTTAATAAACCAATAAGTTTTAAATCTGATTTAAGTTCTACACGTATACGTCGTAATTCTTCTATTTTAAAACATTGTAAATATATATTATCTGTACGTTTTGTATAATTATATTTTTTTAATATATCAAGGACAATTTCACTCATATTTGATCGATTTTCATCTTGATGAAATTGTGGTTCTTTAATTTCAACATAGACACCAACTTGTTTATTATTATCGATATTTGCTTTATTAAGACCTGCAATAAATTCAAGTTCTTCAGCTAGAGTAACTAAATGAAATGTCGACTGATTAAGAGGAAAACGACCTGAAAATATTGGTTTGCCTGTTTCATGATTAAAACGTTCACTAGCACGTAATGTCTTAATTTCTGCAGCTGTAAAATCAATAACATAATAACGGCCATTAGAACGGTTTTGTCCACGAAATGCAGTAGCAACATTACTAATTTCATCTAAATATATATCATGAATAACAATAGGTATATTATCTTTAGATAAAGCAACATCTTGTTCAAGATAATCAACACCTTGACCATAGGCAAGAGCTTTAGCAGGTAATGTATGTTCTGGAAGATAACCAGATGCACCACGATGTCCAATAACTACAACAGATGATGATTTCATACTTTCAACACCAGTTATAAAGATTAAAATAGCAAAACTATATAAATATAAATACATTGTTAATCCTCATTGATATATTAAAAAACTTACTAGATGCTGTATGGTGCCATTAATATATTGATGTTCTTTAAACTATTTGCTATATTTAAGCTTGTCCTTGACTTATTATAAACAGGATGGCATATTTTTTTCCTATTACAATCTGTTGTTTTCCAGTTAATAGAAAACATTTCGAGCAATGGCTATTTGAATATAATAGTAAATGTTATGTATATATATATATATGGTTAAAAATCTTTGTCTTCAACGCGATAATACGATATAATCTAAAAACACAATCATTATGATAATAATATTGACATTTTACGTCTAAATGTGATATATTTCTTATCTTATCTTATTCATAGTGTGTGAAAATAAAGGCAAGAATGATGTAGAGATTTATGGATGTTGACACTTGATGATATCTTGAAATGTGATTTATATCTTAATACGCTTATTTAGAATTGCGTCGAATAAATCTGCAGAAAGAAGAATTATTGTTGATTAAAATTTCTATTAAAAAAAATCAACTGACAAAATTGTATTGAAAGTGGCTATGTGCACTCGAGTATACATAGTCAAATGGCTATGTGCACTCAAGTGTACATAGTCGAGTGGCTATGTGCACTCAAGTGTACATAGTCAAGTGGCTATGTGCACTCGGGTGTACATAGTCAGGTGGCTATGTACACTCGCACAGTCATGAAAAATATTTAGCAAAAATTAAGTTAGATCAGTCTTATATGTGCTTGATTTTTAACATATATGAAATACCTTAAGAGGACCCCCCCTCCCTTTCCCAAGCCAAAATTTTTTTCAATTTTTTTAATTTATGATGAAAGTGTACCAAGGTCCCCGCTAGGTGTGCCATAAAAATCAGAACTCCCCAAAGTCTGGAAGTCTCTAAAAAAAACAGGTTTTTTGGAGACCTATGAAAAAAAAATTTTTTTCACTGTAAAGTTATAGGCAACATGTAACAAAAAAAATTTTTCTTTAGTTTTTGTGTTTTTAATTCTAATGATGTTTCATCGGACTATATGGTTCCGTTTTCGAATTAATTAATAATTAATAATTAATTGGTTAATAATAACAATTAATTAATAGTTAATTAAATCTGACATCAGATTCGGATTCTTTATCTTCGAATACATCTTTTTCAATATTATAAAAATTGGCTTCACTAATTAACGCCTAATTAGTGTCTAATTAATTATTAATTAATTAAAACTGACTTCAGATTTAGATTCTCCATACCAAAATACCCTTTGTACCACGAAACTAGCAATAAAACTTAGGTATAAGTGAAAATAAGTGCAGGGTGAGTGTAGGTGTGGGTAAGAAACAAGAGTAGCATGTCATCCAAACTACACGCACACCCTTAAATCGGTTGATATTTATTTAAATTAAAATTTTTTTATATTTATGTAATTGTAATATTTGAGTTATACGTTTTTTTGAATAAAGTAAAAAATTAATAATGTTAAATTACTATTAAGTTAAGATATTTCATATATGTTAAAAATCAAGTACATATAAGGCTAATCTAACTTAATTTTTGCTAAATATTTTTTATGACTGTCTGAGTGTACATAACCACCTGCCTATGTACACTTGAGTGCACATAGCCACTTCCAATTGTATTTGTCAGAAAGATTTTCATGAACATTATCATTAGAATACATTCAGACACGAAATAATACTTTATAGATAAAGCTATTGACATTATAATATTAACTGGAGTTAGTTTTCATATATTGTTAGTATGTAACGACATAATTTTATTTATTATAAAAGATGATCAACTGTAAAGATAATTATATTAGAAAATTGTCTGGTATGCTATCATTTACTCTAAATCGAATCCACATTTGTGGATAATAAAACAGAAAATACTAAGATCACTAATAATTTAGGGGATTATTTTCTTAATTGATAATCAACTTCGCTTCTCCATGACAAACTGGTCACCAGTTCTTTAGCAAAAACTAACATCATTAAATATGTTTTTCGACAAAATATCATGCGTCAGTATAGTAAATTCAGGTCACCAGATTCACAACATAACACATAGAGCCGAAATCGTGACAGATTCATTTTGTTAATTCGTCTCACTCAGTTAGAAGCCACTCTAAAACTGCTTGATTGAATCACACAAAAATGAATTCAGTCCTCAGATTCAAAGATAGCTATTTACAGCAGTTATTAATTCAGTATCAGTGTGATATAACTGGTCAACAGTTCGTCAGGGGGAGCGAAGTCATTATCCATAAAGATCATGCATTAATAACCAATGTTATTTTAGGAAAAAACACCGGTTCAATGACGAAGTGAAAGATAGACAAAAAGAATTTTCAATGAAGATTCTTTAGCCTTTTTTAAAGTTTTTGAAAAACTTAAATAAAAATAATTTAAAGACGATGAATAAATTTCAGTGTATTTGTATAAAAACAGACTTAATCATATATTAATATTAAATATTTGCATTGCATCATGGTTACATTCTTATCAGTTGTAATTTCACAAGAAAGGTATATTTCTGAATAAGAGATTTATGTTCGATTACACCAGAAAAATAACTAACATAAAAGAACAGATAATATCAAACATTTTTTAACAATTCGTTATTTATAAAAGCTTATTTTTTCGAAAATTAATCATTTGTATTTCGAACGAACAGTTTATTTTTAGATATTTTATTTTTAATTTATTGTCCAAACTTATTCATCGATTATTATGGCTACAAGTAAATAAACGATTGATCATTTAAGATATCAGCTAAGCTTTTGAAATGTTTCAGTAATAAAAATTTTCTTCGGCTTATCAATAAGAAAAATTTCAAACTATGAAATGAAATTAAAAACTAAGAAAGATTCCTTATTCATGTGTAATTAGTAAATGAGTAAGACTATAGAGAAAACTTTCGTTAGTGAATATATTCCCTGTTGTATATAAGAGAAGAGAATAAGGTGAATTATGAATTTTTTTCGTCATTATTAATTAACTAACTATTATTTTTTAGGTATGAAAACAAAAAAGAAATCAAAAAGAAATGTGTCCGCATTCCAACCGGAAATAGACGAAGTTGCAGAAAATGACACTGGCTTAGGTATATTTAAATATTTTTACATATATTTCAGTATTGAAATAAGATATTTTTAAATCATTATTCTTATTAGAAATGAATGCATATGACAATTCTTATTTGCGACAAGAGATGGACCGTTTTCCGAACTACTCATCAGTGGTGATAATGATGCAAGGATTGACCGAACGAGATGTGGAGTTTATTGTCGAAGAGGCTATTATCAAAAAACAATGCAAACAACTTAAACTAAATCAGACGAAATTAAAATCACCAAGTGCTTTCATCTTAGCTAATGTATTAAGCAATAATGATAACATTTTGCAAGAACTTTCTTTATATGGTAATCGCATAGATGATGAAGGTGTTCATTATTTAGCTAAAGCATTATCAATTAATAATAATAATCTGAAGATATTAGATCTAACTAAAAATGAAATTACAAATGTGGGTGCAAAATATCTTGCAGAAATGATTAAAACAAATGAAACACTGACAACACTTTTAGTTGCCGGTAATCTAATAGGTAATGGAGGTATTCAAATCTTAGCCAATGCAATACAATATTATAGCAAAACTATGATAGAATTTGATTTCTGTACAAATGAATTAGTTAACGATTCAATTGTCGATTCTCTTATTCAATTGATTAAATATAGTCCATCATTGAAACAATTATCTTTATTTAGATGTAGTTTATCTCAAAATAGCAAAGATAAACTTATTAAAATGCAAAAAAGAAAAGAAGATTTCGTATTACACGTATGATAGTTAAGAACATCAGTAAAATATTATTAAGCATTCGCTAAATAATTATTTTTATTGAAAATTTTCTTTTATCATTCAATTTTTCAAATAAATAAAATTTTATTGCTTCGTAAGATGAGAAATATTTATTCTAACATACTTTTACCTTACTTTGTGTTGAGAAACAGAACTATATATCGCAAACAAAAAAACATAGAGAGAAGAAAAAAACGATTACCCAAATGTGTAGTAGCCATATATATTATAAGTTGCAACTTCACAGAAAATACAACTGTAATGCTTACTACTTCGATTTACAGTATCAATTTAATTGATAAATAATGGCCTGTTCGTTTTTCCAAAATGAAAATAGGGTGTGGATCTGTGTATGAGTATTGATATATCTTCTGTTAACCTCACCCACATTCACAGAAACACTAACACCCACACCCTCAAGATTAATTTAAAAACAAGTGAACAAAACATTCTTTTATTTATTCATCAACTATTGTTTATAATTTCTTTTTTACAACTTCAATACTCTTTTTCACATCTTTAATATCAGGATGAGTTGCAGGTAATGCACGTTGCCATATATCCAGAGCACGTTCAAAATGTGATAGTGCTTTCGAATAGTCTTTCATATTGGAATACAGACAACCGATGTTGTTGTATGAAGTAGCCAATGAAGGATGATTCGGAGGAAGAGTTCTTTGTCGAATTTCAAGCGCTTTTTCGTAATATGAAAGTGCTTTGGAGTACTCTCCCATGCTGTCATACACCTTACCGATGTTGTTGTATGAAGTAGCAAAATCAGGATGATTTGAAGGAAGAGTTTTTTGTCGGATTTCAAGTGCTTTTTCGTGACATGAAAGTGCTTTCGAGCATTCTTCCATATCGTAATACACCAAACCGATGTTGTTGTATGAAGTAGCTAGATCAGGATGATTTGGTGGAAGAGTTTTTTGTCGAATTTGAAGTGCTTTTTCGAAAAATGAAAGTGCTTTCGAGTATTCTCCCATGTGGTTATACGCATTACCAATATTATTGTATGAAGTAGCCAAATCAGGGTGATTTGAAGGAAGAGTTTTTTCATAGATTTTAAGTCCTTTTTCGTAATACCAAATTGCCTTTTCATAATCACCCTGTTCAGTTTTGACAAATCCAAGCTGATTATAATAAAGCGCTTTTTCGCCCTCATCTGATGTCTGTTCGAGTAATACGCTATAGAGTTCTTCTGCTTTGTTAAATTGACCGATTTTTAGCAATAATTTACCTAATCTTTCCCATCCAGTCTTACCATCAGTTTCTTTTCGTATCCGGTCAGTAAGTAATCGTAATTGTTGGTCATCATCCGTTGTTAATTGTAATTCAACTTGATAAAGTTGATTTTTATTGTCCATCTGTTTAATTGCATTCACTCGAAAGACAGTGTGCATTGAAAAGAGGATTTCGTCAGCCTCTTTAAAATAACTCACCTCGTGGGTGGAGGCAAATGGTGTTGACTTAATACAAGGATCAATGGACATTATAAACAGAACGCCCACCTTATTTTGTTCTGCTGAAGCATATTGAGCAAAATGAAGAGACAATTCTTTATCTTTACTTGTAGATAAGAAATTGTTAAATGACATAAGTCCACCTCTTGCTTTTTGAAGTTTTTCAAAATCTGATTGCATAAGACCTTGTCCTCGATAAACTAAAAAAGGTTTTTTACCATAGCTATTAACTTGTTGTTCGTGCAGCTGTTGAATTTGCTGATGCACATCACGTAGGAAGAAACCCATGTTAATGATTATATCGGCATCCAGAATTCGAAGTGCTTGATTGAGCATTTTGTAGGTAAAACACTCACGTGTATACCACCATATTGCTTTTGGTGGATCATAATCACGTTCAAATTCATTAATAATTTTTAATTCGCTTGAGTTGTCACTAAAAGCTTCGCGGCAACAAGCTGCTAAGTCCTTGATTGCCTTACGGTCATATTCAATATCAAGGAGAATCTCCTTGAATAGTTGGGTATACATGAAATTTGGTTCCAACTGATTTAGACTCTCAGTTGAAGCCATTTCATTTACCGTAAGAAAACTTACGGCAATAGTGTCTTGGTCGCATTGCTTAACAACCAGTTGCAATGCTTGACATATGCTTTTGATGTTTGTATGTATGCCTTTAATTTTTGTCCAGTTTTGTGCCCATCCTTGATGTCTGGATTTGTCGCCACAGAAGATGTAAATTGCATCTACTTGTGGCATGCCATGAATTTCAGGAACCAAATGTTGGCCTAATGAACCAGACGTTATCACGAAGGCGTGTTCTTTGTCAACCTTGTTGAGTACTTGGATGCACTGATTTGGTTCAGTACATAGGTTGACATTATTGACTACATTCTTCAGTTGATTGAGTGTGTCTTGGCAATCCTTGTTTGCTTGATCAATGTTGGCATCTACCCAAATGAGAAAGTAGTTTTGTGCCGTACGTTGTCGTGGTTGACGAATATTCGATGATGCTGTTGATTTGGATGTAGCAGCATTTTGGTTTGATTTTGATCCGCTCATTCTGATTCTGTGGTAATTTGTTGTTAAAGATGAAGTTATCAGTAGATATTGTTGTGTGAGTGAAAAGAAGGATAACTGTTCTCCTTTATATAGGCAGTGACTTGTTTTTTCTCGATTTTTCGGCGACTCCGAATGTTTGTGTGTTTTTGTTACCGCTCAAGGACAAGCTTCACCTAGTTACTTTTGAAAATAATATTGTGCAGAGCAAAGAACAGATCAAAACAAAAAAAGTGTTTGATAATGTTATTCAAAGAACGAACAAAACAGAAGCCAACAATCGCATTCGTTTTATTGTTATTCTTTCCAACTTACTCTTGCTTTTGTCTACATTATTACTTTAGTTTGCCAATGCGTAGGCGACATTTTTTTTCATCGACGAAAGGTAGAAAGAAAAATACTCTTCTTTCAGTGAATTATTTTTTTCTTACACTCTTTTGTCAGACATTTTATGAGTGTTTGATGAATGTATGCAATATATTATGAGAAAACAACGAAAAGAGCGTTGTGAAATTTTCTATATCGAGCATGCTTTAAACATTATACCAATGAATGAAAAAAAATTGTAGGCTCAATATTTTTGTTCTCTGTAAAAACAAACAAAGTATTTCATACAAAGCAATTGAATAGTTTTATTGAAAATAATTTTTAAAAATCACAAAAAATATATACTTTACGTAATACAAGAGAATTAATAAATGCTTTATCAAATGATATATTATTTGGATTAAGACAAAGCTTCTCTGTGAGGGATTGAGATGAAAATTTGTTTGCGCATTAAAACAACTAATTTGAGAAATGATTTCTTTATTAAATTGTGGCTGTTTATTCTTTTGTATATCATCACAACTATTTCAATACAACATGAATCATTTTGTTGCAAGAAACAGTGTATATAGATTGTGGTATAGTGTGGGTGTGAATGTTGATAACGAAAGAGAAGAATACCCACACCCACACCCAACTTATCTCGAAAAAACCTATTCATTTATGCATTTCAGATTAAATGATAATATACAAAATTCGAAAGATTCGTTTTTTTCACAGATCTCAACTTTTAGATCAAAATCATGTATCATTAATTATACCTGGAACTTTATATGAATCTAAACTAGAGCAAAATAATTTTAGGGTGTGTGTTTTTGTGATTTAAAATAAATAAATCACACTCATTTTAACATATGTTATCCGTGCTTCCTTCAAATTTTAAGTAATAGAAAAACTAAAATTCAAATAGAACGAAAGAGAACAAGTTTCAGTGATAATTCGATCCTCGCATCACATTTCGTACTCTTATGATTAATTAAATTTGCACTTAAAGTTGATCTGACCTAAACACTATAAATCGATATTGTTAGAAGATTTATTCAGAGTCGTTATATTTTCAATTTAAATCAATACGATAAGACATGGCTTTAGTAAAAAGATATCAGATTTTATTTTTGTTTCTTCTAACAATGAAACTGAATTTAAATATAATAATTTATATAAATAGCTGTATCAAACAGAAAAGAACTAAATAATGGTATTAAGAATGTCAATATACGTAGTTCTAAGATAAAGGCAAATAACAAAATTGTGATTTAAAAATAATTAGAAAAAAGAATGAAGAGTAGTATTTTTTTTTGAAAGTGATACATATAGGTCGATTTCATAAAAAGAAAATTCTATGATGTATTTTATTGGTTTATCTTGTGTTGCTGTTTTTATTGTTATTTTAAATAATTGTCTTGCTACACCTCTCGATGATTATGTTAATACTCCCGATCCAATGTTTAGTTGGAAACGTCTTCAAACCTATCCTTTTCCAACTTATACACTTTTTATATTGAATATGACGTCACAACGATGGTTTGATAGTAAAATCATATTTTATAAAATATTAAATGATTGCTCTTTTTTTTTATACATAGATTCGCTTTCTTCACAACCAATATGGTGGCATTATATGGCTATTACAGTTCCAAAAAATATTCGTCGTTATAAAACAGCATTTCTACTAGTCAATAATGGTGATAATACTAATTCGTAAGTATATACATGTAAAAATATTTGATATACTTATTTATCAATTCTAGAGTACCTACTAGCAATCCGATGACAGATCTGGCAATAAGTTCATCTAGTGTTACAGCAACAATATGGCAAATACCAAATCAACCATTTCAATTTTGGATAACTTATTTCATAATGTTACTACTACTAGTTATATGATAATTGATTTATTATAGGCTGATCCATTGGAAAAACTTCGTAGGGAAGATGCACTTGTTGCATGGACATGGAAACAATATTTTGATACTAATGGTATGGATCCTACAATACTTCTCTATTTTCCTATGACTAAGGTAAAGATAAATAAAATTAAATAGATTATTTTTTATAAACATATTTCTTATACATTGATAACAGGCAGTTGTACGAGCTATGGATACTATTGAACAATTCTTACAACAAGAACATATTACTGTACCACAAGAATTTGTTGTTGGTGGTGCTTCCAAAGTAAATACTACTACGTTTGAATAAATTTCATGCATATATTATAATTGTTTACCTTGCAGCGTGGATGGACAAGTAAATATAGAACAAACTTTTCTATTTTATTCTACTTCAAATTTTAGCATGGTTAACTGCTGCTGTCGATAATACAAGAGTAGTAGCTGCAGTTCCTATTGTTATGGATTTACTTAATATTCGTCCAGTAAGAAGAAGATTATTCATATAAGTTAATTAATTAATTCTTTATAGAATATGATGTCACATTATCGGGTATGTGCTAATTCAATTGGCAAAGATAATATATTGATTTTGATAGTCTCTTGGAGGAGGATGGACATTTGCATTAGATGATTATTATGAGATGAATATAACTCGCCAAATGAATAGTGCTATTACGGATAAACTAGCTGAAATGATTGATCCCTATTGTAAGATATTGAATAAAATTTATTTAACTATGATAAAAATATTGATATTTTGAAGCATATTTGGATCGATATAGCAAAACCAAAATCTTTCAACTTCAAGGTGCCGGTGATGAATTTTTTCTTCTTGATTGCGAAGTAAAACTCTATTTATCATCTGTCGATCAATAGAATAAAAACTAAAATTTGACTTATTATTAGAATTTCTTCTGGAATGAATTACAAGTAGCTACTGGAGGATCTCATTTGAGGTAAGATAGTTGAAAAGAAAAAAAATCATAAACTATATTTTATACACAGAAGAATACCAAATACTGGTCATAGTATACGAGGATATGAAGAGAGTTTATCGAGCTTTTATCTTAGTGCTGCTGATGTAAGTAAATATTGTTTCTTTTTTTTATTTTATTTAACAATTGGTAAAAATAGCGAGTACCATTACCATCAATGAAATGGACTCGAACTATGAATGGAACACATGGTTTTATTCATGTTACCATTGATTTTAGTTCTGGAAAACCAAAACCAACAACTGTTACTGCTTATCAAGCTCGTACTAGTGATACATTAAGGCAAGATTAGAAGAATATCAGATGGAGATTATTAATATTTTGTAGACGTGATTTTCGACAAGCAAAAGTTGATCAAACTACAGGTAATATTGTTGCTAATCCAATAGTATGGGCAAATACAGGTGTGCAATTCCAGGTTATATTTAAAATTATTATTTATCTGTACATTATTATTATTATGTAGGGACAAAGTGGTACAACAGCTTCCTATTCATTAACAGTTTCCATTCCAACCGATGGTTATTGGCTAGCTACATTCATTCAAGCTACATTTGATGGACGTCAAGGTACAACATTGACTTTAACAACAGAAACTCTTATTCTACCAAATACGTATCCAGTAAATGAATGTAATGATCAAGCATGTTATGGAACACTTGTTTAAAACACATGAATAAATGACTTTAATCTTAGAAAAAAATTGTTTTTTGAATTCAAAATAAAAGTCACACTTTTCCAGTTTAGTCATGATTGATTGTTTTGTCGTTCAGACAAAAAGCAAACAATCTTGTAATGTTTCATATCTGTTGAGTTTGTCCTTTTTCTACACATGGTAGCAGTTTATGATGAATATTAATTTTAAAAATGTATTTGGTATTCATTTAATAATCTTTATAGTATCTTGGTTATTATTTTTGATATGGTCATGTCAAAACAATCAGAAACTGAGAATATTAACAAGAAACACATCGTATACACAAACACTCTTTAAAAAGGGTGTGGGTGTGGGTTGGACGGGAAAAATTTTTTCAATCAAGAGAAATGAGTATCACCATCGTGTTCTCTACAAAAAGTTACCTACGTCTCAATAAAAAAAACTCAAAATTCATTGTCCATGTCATGGACTACGTGAAAACCCTCCAGAAGATGACCTCCGTTCTCGACCGTTTCTAGAGATCCCAAGCTGATTTTTTTTTATGGGGTTGTCTTCTAAGCCAAGTACTATCCAACTGCGAAAACCCGGCCCGAAACAGATCCGTATCTTGGGAAATAATCGACTTGCAAAATTCGGATTTTTCAAATACTGATGGAGCTCTAGAAACCCAACGCCTTAAGATTTCGAGCTAAAACTTTTACCATAAATGTAACATACTAAGGTGTATATCTGTACAAAATTTCAACTCATTCGGCCTAGCCATTCTTGCGATATCGATCTATTTGTACCCCCAATCCTTAATTTTTGCAATTTTATGAATTTTTATAAAAGCCTTATAAAATCCGAAGGAATCAATATTTTTCAAATCGGTTTGCGTCAGAGTTCATTAAATACCTTCTTCTGTAACATATCAAAAATTGAGGAAAATCTGAGAACCTCAATAGAGCAGCTATATATGTATTTATGTTGTGGCTTATGTGCAGTGACTCATACAACGTAAGAAAGAAATGAAACAAGGTGATGATACCACCTAACATGGTCATTACATTGCTATTAACAATATTAAAATTCAATTACATTTAATTGCAGATTCCGCATTTGCGTTAAAATCTACCGTGATTAAGCCAT